AAATCAAATTTGTAAATTCCTTCCAAAAGACAATTTCTTTTTTTTTTTTTTTTTTTTTTTTAGAAAGCAGAGAAAATGAAGAGGAGCACTATTTTGGATCAAATTCTGCACAAGCAAATTCTGTTTGTAAGGTAGAAGTGAGCGGAAGCTCACTGTCCTCGGGAGTCTGGGTCTGGACCTGGTAGCCAGTCAAGAGCGTGCCAAGATTTAGGAAGGAGCATCCCAAGATATCTGTGGAGAAAAGTTATGTGTGACTGATCTTGTGATGCAAGAATAAAGGAAAGACCACTATTTTGGATCAAATTCTGCACAAGCAAATTCTGTTTGTAAGGTAGAAGTGAGCGGAAGCTCACTGTCCTCGGGAGTCTGGGTCTGGACCTGGTAGCCAGTCAAGAGCGTGCCAAGATTTAGGAAGGAGCATCCCAAGATATCTGTGGAGAAAAGTTATGTGTGACTGATCTTGTGATGCAAGAATAAAGGAAAGACGGCTAAACAGGACCAAAGGAAGTAATAAATTGCTTCCCAAATGATCCCAAAGAGGAAAAAGAAAAAGACAGGACCACAATTAACTATGACTGGAGGCAGGTGGACAGGTCAGCAAAGTGTTCCTTTCCACACCACACTGCTGGCCGACAAAAACTCTGGCATCTTCATCATGTGACTTCCAAGGTTGCCCTGGGAGTTGTCTCCACTCTACATGGGAGGTTTCAATGGGTCAGGCCTGGCAGTGGCACACGCCACTTCTGCCCATGCTCTATTGGCTGGAACTCAATCACACTGCCACGCTCAACTGCAGGGGAACCTAGGAAATGTAGTCTGTGTGCTCAGAAGGTAGAGAAGAGCATGGATTTCATCCAGTACACTCCTTCAATTTTCCTTATTAAGGAGGATAATATGGGTGGAAAGTTGAGGAACACTATCAGGAAGAGGAATTGAAGCTCCAAGTATGGAAAGAGATAGTAAGAGAGCAACTTGCTGCCCCAGAGAGCTGTCTTCTGACATGGAGAAGTTACACCCAGGGTCCTGAGGGTGCTCAGACAAGTTCACTTCATCTTTGAGGAGCTTTAATGAACGGAAGTGCTGCTGGGAGACTAACGAGGCAGGCGATGGCATCCTGATTTTCATAAAGCCTAAGAAATGGGAATCTGAAAAGTACACACTAGTCAACTTGACATTAATATGGGATGAATGGCTAAAAGATGATCAAATGTGTGGTCTCAAACACACACACACACACAAAAGAACAGATCTCAAAGAACTTGCATGTGGTCTAGGCTTCGTTTCCTCCTTTGAAAGAATTAGCCTTAACAATGTTCATATGCTTAGACTTAATGATACTCCAGGAAATTTGTGCTAAGGAATCGATGCAAATGATGGACAAAGTTATTTTGCACAAAAAAATGTTATCACTGATTTATAATAGCAACAAGTTAGATATAACTTAACAGTACAGCAATAGGGGAATGGTTATACAACTTATGTTGTTAATACAACTAAGTATTATAAAATCTTTAAAACTATTTCAGAGTTTTTAATAATGTGAGAAAATACTTATGAAATTCTGCAAATATTTGCAAATATCAGAGAATGTATGCTCCCAGGATTCTGTCTCCAGTGGCTCCTGTTCTGGTCAGTATTTTTACCTGTGTCTCAGGTACACATCTAGAACTGCACTGCTCAGTATGATATCCACTAGCCATATGTGACTACTTAAATTTAAATTAATTCAAATTATAAAAGCAGCAAGAGAGAAATAACGTGTTATATCCAAGGGAACCTCCATCAGACTATAAGCAGAATTTTCAGCAGAAATTTTGCAAGCCAGAAGGGAGTGGCACAATATATTCAAAGCACTGAAAGAGAAGACTGCCAACCAAGAATACTCTACCCGGTAAAGCTGTCCTTCAGAATTAGAAAGAATTTCCCAGACAGGTAAAAGTTGAAGGATTTAAGTGAAATGCACTATGGCCACGCCACCCTGAACATGCCCGATCTCATCTGGTCTCAGAAGCTAAGCAGGGTCGGGCCTGGTTAGTACTTGGATGGGAGACCACCTAGGAATATCAGGCGCTATAGGCGTTAAAAAAAAATGAAATGCAATTTAGAATTACAATTACCATTTAAAAATACAATTTAAAATTCAGTTCCATGGTTGCACTAGCCTCATTTCAAGTGTTCGATAGAAATTGTTACTGGCCATCATATTGGACAGCAGGGAGCATTTCCATCGCTACAGAAAATCGATTGGAAAATGCTGGTCTAGCTGTAATGCTTATCGGTTTCATGGAGGACACCGGGCTGAAAGAGTCAGCCTCCCAGATGACCAGCACGAGCTGACACGAGGAGCCACGTCTAACCAGCTGAACAGATATAAGTGTAATATCCTTCCTGAGAGCTCCAAAATACAACCACAGAGGTAGAGAAGAATTGTGGGGAAGATGATTTTGCTTAAAGACAAGCTCCCTATGCATCTATTGCACCTACCCCAAATAATGCTGCTACCCCAAATAATGAGATCTTGAGCTGAATTAATGAGGTATACAGTTCAGAACAAGAAAGGGACAGTTCCAAACTACATTGAACAAACCACACTGAGAGTTCAACTGATTTTCCCTCAGGGGTGTTTTCAGAACCTGAATTGGCTATAATAAAATTGATTAAATAGAAAACACAATTTGCATCATTAAGGACTGCTATTGGTTATAAGCAGATCACAATCAGGAACACGGAGTATGGGAGAGAAAAAAACTGTTACAAATAGCTCAGCCACTAGGTTTTCGTGGCTTTGTGCCTTGTTTATTAAACAATGAGCCATATGGTAACAGAAGTGGCGAGAATGATGAGAAACTCTTAAGATTGCACTGCTCCGGAGAGGAGGGCGGGCGACTACTATCCTCAAGCAAAAGTCAGAGGTAATCAAGGGATGTTTAAGGTTTTATCGTCTACAAAAAAATCTTACATTAGACAAGAACTCCTCTTTAAAAAATTGGTTTTTTGATAACATATGATTTCCTAAAAATGCAACTATCATAGTGAAGTGGACAGAACTGTGTTCAGTTTTGAGTATTTCAGTCCAAAACGGATGATGAAGTACCTGAGTAAGAGAATAAGGAGCCAAATGGATAAAGTTCTAGAAATAATGGCAAACAGAGGATATTAGAACTGAAACTAATGTGTGTGTACCTGGGAGAAAGGGGCATGACTAGAACGGGAATTGGAATTCAGCTCGATACAAGGAAGGGCTTTCCAACAGTGAGGGCAGCACAGGGTGGTGGGCAAGGCCAGAGTCCAGAGTCAGGCCAGCCTGAGTTTGCATTCTGGAACTTGCTAGCCATGTGACCTTGGGCAAGTTACTTAGCTCTTCTAAGCCTCATTTTCTTCACCTGTAAAAGGAGATAATGACTTTTGTCTTAGTGTTATTCGAAGAACTAAATAATTATGTCTAGTGCTTATCATAGCAGCCGACACATATCGAACCGTCTATCAACGTTATCTCTTAGCTACTATGATTTGTCCGGCAGAGTCTGCATGATCACTTATGGGAGGAACCACAGAACACAATTCTGCACTGGTAGGTAGTTAGGATGTATTATGTGAATACTAGCAACCTGGAAGTTAAAAGGTCATGCGGGAAAAGGGTTCTGCCATCAAATCAGTTTGACAAATGCTGGAATAATTGAAGTTAACAGGTTTGTTTACTTTGTGTCTTCTCGCAGCCTTTAGTATACCCCCTGAATTTTAAATCCCCCATCACACTTGGCCACAGAACCCCTTTTCATGGACCAGCTTGAGGGAAGAGAGTATTGCGAACACATTTTAGAAAACATTGAATTAGATGATTTCTGAGACTCTTTCTCACTCTGACATCTGAAAGCTGTGAATTTCAAATGCAGTGATGTTTATAGCTGTGGTTTACTGAGCACTGATTACGAGCCAGGAGACTCAGGACTTGAAGCCTTGTCTCGCCAACTTCGATCCCATGCCCATTCTACCGGCCAGCGTTTGAGCCAGCGATTCATGCCAGCTTGCTTTAAATTTGGGGGAAGAGGTCACTGGGACTACTAGATAAGAAAGTGAGAGATTATATCTGTATTAAATGACCACAAGGCTTCCTCTTCCATTGCTAGAGATGTATATGAGTTGTCCCAATGAAAAGGAGGCCTTAGTTTGGGGTAAAGCTTCACATATGCTCTTTACTTCCATCTTTATCCAAGATGAGCTAAAAGGGAAATGGGATCCCTTTGTTCCCTCCCTCATCTCAACATCGTGGATGAAAAAGGGATTCTGTAATAAACCCGACAAGTCCAATGACTAAAAGTAACTTCACAGGGTGATCTGATCATAAATTCCTAACTGGGCAGGTTATGGTGCGTAGTCACACCCCAGGTAAATAACTTCTTTAGTAAAAGGTTCCTCTTTGCCTTAAGCAAGCTTCGTTCATTATTTCTGTTCATCTAGGTTAACACACGTTTGAAATGCCTCTTTTTTAGACCCTGTCAAGAGAGCGCATGGTCTTGTAAACTATCCTGTGATCCAATCCCCACCTCGCTCTCTCCCACCTTCACATCGTCTTCCTTAAGTTCCCTCCTTATTTCCAAATGCATAAAAGAAACTGCAAAACTGTCATTCTCCAGAACATGAGATCTTGCTTCCCAGCAACTGTCTTCGGTTTGGCTCAACTGAACTCTTATAAAAATTTTATACAGGTTTGGACGTTTGTTATGTTGACACGGTAAAGAGTACAGGGTGCTCTTTCCTCACAGACAACGGCAAGAGGAACGAACACTTCAGATTAAAGCTGAGATTCTAGAAAACAGGCTGCTCAGCTCAGCTCAGCTCTGCATGACGTCGTGGTAATGGTCACAGAACATGTCAACCCCTGCCATGTAGTCAGGCTCTAGAATGAACCAAAAGCCCAGTCCTCTTCTGGCCAGGTCACTGGGAGGGGACACTCAGGGCCTGAGCCTTCTACAGGCAAAGACTTGGGGTTAATCACCTTTGTTTTTCCAGCACCACGGGCCAGAGAGCTGAAAGGAACTCAGTGCCAAACTGTGAAAACCTGGGCTTGAGGGCCCCGTCGTGGCTTCTGGCAGAATCTGCTGCCCTCGTGTGGCCATCCTGGCTCACAGCTAACAGATTCGGAAATTCAAGACCAATGGAGCCCTTGGAGAGGCCAGCGGGGAAGCAGTCAAGGACAGCTGATCTGAGAGCCACCCGATGAAAGCAGCAGCCTTCCAGGCGGGCAGGGGGCCTGCAACCTTTTGGTCTCAGAACCCTTTTACACGCACAAAAATGACTGAGAACCACAGAAACTTTTGATGTGAATTAATTCCATCCTGTTTAGAAATTACAACTGAGAAACGTTAAAAAATATTGATGTATCAATTCCTTTAAAAATAACAAACATTTCACGTTAACACAAATAATGTAT